AAGTTTTAAAGGCAGTGAGCAGTTATTTTTTGTGATCTATATACAGCTACGTCTTGTTTTCTAAGTTAATTATCGACAATGGACTTCCTGTTGTATGAGAAAGATTTAGCCCCTCCTACCCCATGCACACATCTGCTTCCTCTGCCCACCACCTTCCCACTACAGCCAGATTATAATTTTTGGAAGATCAATATTTGGTGTGATGACTCTCAAATTGATATCTGCAGCAGAGATCTGGACTCGGAGCCATGTGTGGGTGCTTACTTTAATACTAAGGTGCTAGCCTTTAATACTAATCTTCACCTCAAACGGCCTTCTTCCAAAACTGAGCTCTGGTCCTCCCTCCAAACCCCACTCCTCTCATTGCTTTCCCCGGCTCAGTAAATGCCAAGGTCATTTTGAGGCGCAAGTTGAAAGCCCAGAGGCATGTTTGACTTCAGTCTTACCCTCCCATCCCATATTTGATCTGTCTGCAAAGCTTTTTGCTCTGCCTTCAAAATACATCCAGAGCTGACACCTCCTCACCAGCTCTGGGTCCACGACTCCATCCTTTGCTCCTGAATCACTGCCATGGCTCCCGGCTCATCTTCGGGCTCCCGTACCAGGTTCCCAGGAGTTTATCCACAATACAGTGAGCCAGTTAGGATAAAGTGGCCATGCCACTGCTGTGCTCCCAAGCCTGCAGTGGCTCCCGCTGCAAGGAGAGAGGGAAGCCCAAAGCTCCGCCGAGGGGTGCACAGCCCTGCAGGCTCTGGTCGCCCTCTTCTCTCACAGCTCGGCCAAGGGCCCCTTGCCCGTCCTCAGCTCGAACTGCCTGAGGCCACCGCTGCCTGCAAATCCAGGAGGGTCTCATCCAGCACCTTCCTGCCCTGTCTTAGGCTTTGTTCTCTTTCCTCTTGACTTGAATGTTACTTTCTGAGTGAGGCTTTCCCTGGTCACCATATGTAAAATTGCAACTTCCCCTATTCCTGACCCTCTAACCTCCTTCTCTGCTTTATCTTTCCTCCTCCTTCTCCTCCTTCTCCTCTTCCTCCTCGTCCTCCTCTTCTTTTGTGTTTTTGAGACAGAGTTTCACTATGCAGGTCAGGCTGGCCTTGAACTCACTTTGTAGCCCAGGCTGGCCTTGAACTCACATAGATCCTCCTGCCTCAGCTTCTCGAGTATGAGTGTGCCACCATGCCTGACACTGTCTTTCTTCTTTAAAAGATAATCACCATCACCAGGCATGGTGGAACATGTGAGTTCAAGGCCAGCCTGAACTACCTAGGGAGACCCCATCTCAAAAGAAAAACAAAACAAAAAAGTTCATTACCATCTCATGTTACTATATCTTATTGTCTCATTTATTTTCTGTCCACAGAACTATGAGACTTCTTTTTTAGACTATGAGATTTATGATGAAGTAGAGGCAGCTTTCTTCACTACTATTTCCCCTGTGCCTGGTGCATAATAAGTACTTAATAAACAGTTGTTAATAAATAAGTGAGTGTTTATAGTATGATGCGTATGTAACTATATTTGTAGTTGGGCCAGGTAGAATTCTGTGGTTTCGTTTTTTTCCCCCTGTTTGCCCCTCTATGCCCTCCAGTTGGAAGCTGACATGTTGGCTTAGTTGTTATTGTTTTTGCTTAGTTTTCTGTTTCATCACTAATCCAGCTTCTTAATCTTCCCAAACTGGTAAGACCCCCCTTGGCACGTTAATCTTAAGACATGTCCCTCAGCTCTCTCTGTTTTGCTTGGTGCTACCTGCTTCTCTGGGTGCTGCTTGGAATTCTCTCTTCCCCATCACCCTGGGGGTTCTCCGCGCGTCTCTCCCTAGGATTCGCAGTCCTCTGGACCCCATACCTTTACTTCTTGGTTTATTCTCTCACTCTGATGGAGCAACTCTTTTGGTTTCTTTTTTTTTTTTTTTTTTTTTTGGAGTACCAGGGATCGAACTCACGATCTCGCGCTTGCCAGACAGGCGCTTATGCCACTGAGCTATATCCCCAGCCCTCTTTTGGTTTCTTCCTGAGGAAGCTGCAAAACTTTGAGTATCTGAAACTATCCTGACTCTTCCCACTTGGTTGACTGACAGCGTGACAAGACACAGAAATCTGAGCTGCAACCCATTTGCCCTCAGAATTGTACAGGTTTCCCGTCTAGAAGTTAGTTCTAAGCTCCAGAGTCCTCGTGCTTCTCCTCTGCTCATTTTGGGAATTTCTGGAATCCTCCCTCTGTCCTCCCTTGGGTGGGACTTCGCGATCATTGGTCTCCCTGTAGATCTTTCTTTTGCATTTGTGATGCTGGTCACGAGTGGGTCCTGAGGGCGTGGGGGAGGCCTTGATTGTGTCTTTTACAACTGTTCCCATTTGCTTCTGTTCTCTCCTTCTGCAACTTCTACTGTCTGAATTGTGTTCTTACTGAACTGATTGTCTCTCTGTGCTTGCCAAATTGTTGTTGTACCTTCTTGGAAGTGTTCTCAGTGTTATCTTCCAAGCTTGCAGCTGAGGTTTAGTTTGCCATATTTTTTCCTAAAAAAGTCCTATCTCTCTCTTTCTTTCTCTCATTCTCTGCCTGCCTATCTCTGTCTCTGTCTCTGCATTGAACCTAGGACTTTGGGCATGCTAAGTACGCTCTATTCCAGTCCTTTTAAAATCCATTTCATGTTTAGCTGGGGTCTAGGTAGGTTCTATTTTTTTTTTTTCTTTTGTCTTTTTGAGACAGTGTCTCACTCTGCAGTTCAGGCTGGCCTTGAGCTCATTTTGTAGCCCAGGCTGGCCTTGAACTCACAACAATCCTCCTGCCTTAGCCTCCCGAGTGCTGAGACTACAGGAGTGCGCCACCACACCTGGCTTGAGATTTGTATTTTACTACCATATGATCCTTAGGTCATATTCAGGTTTGGTCAGTTGTCCCAATAAATTTAAGACCCTATCCAAAATGGGCATCTGAGATGAACACACACTTCTCAGATGAAGAAATACAAACAGCAAATAAGTATATGAAAAAATGTTCAACATCACTGGTCATTTGAGAGATGCAAATTAAAACAACATTGAGAATCCCTCTCACCCTAGAAAGAATGGCTATCATCAAGAAATTAACCAATAACAAATGCTGGAGGGCCTATGTGGAAGAAGGAACCTTTTTCCACTGCTGGTGGGAGTGTAGCCTGGTGCAGCCACTGTGGAAATCAGTGTGGAGATTCCTCAAAAAACTAGGATTGGAGGTCCAATTTAACCCAGCTATTCCCCTTCTGGCTATCTTCCCAGAAGAATTAAAGACATTATAGCAGCAATGTATGTGTACCCATGTTTATAGCAGCACAATTTTTAATAGCTAGACTTGGAAAAAACCCAAACATCCATCAACTGAAGAATGGGTAAAAAAAGATGTAGTCTTTTTATACTATAGAATACTACTCATCCCTAAAGAAGGATAAACTGGAGACTTTTATAGGTAAATGGCTGCAACTCGAGACTGCACTCGTAAGTGAATAAACCAGACACACATGTGTAAACATCATATTGTCTCCCTAGTTTGGAAGCTGAAAGAGTAAATGAGATCCAAAATGTGCAATAGATATTGTTGAATGAGAAGAACTTTCAAAAGGAAAGAGAAATTGGAATGGGGGAACGGAGAAAAGAAATAAGGGAAAAGAAAAAAAATATATGTATATATAAAAGACAGTTAAGATAGTTATACTACTAGGGCCAGATGTGGTGGCACACGCCTGTAATCCCAGCACTCGGGAAGCTGAGGCAGGAGGATTGTTGCAAGTTCGGGGCCAGCCTGGGCTACAAAGTGAGCTCAAGGCCAGCCTGAACCACACAGGGAGACCCTGTCTCAAAAAGACAGTAAATAAATAAATAAATAAATAAAAAGATAGTCATACTACTAATTTCTCTTAGTTCATTGAAAAGAAAGGTTTGTGCTAAAATTGTCTGGACAATTTTTTTTTTTTTTTTTTTTTTTTTTGGTTTTTCTCCGGTACCGGGAACCGAACTCACGACCTTGCGCTTGCCAGGCAGGCGCTTTTGCCGCTGAGCTAAATCCCCAGCCCCTGTCTGGACAATTAAATGCCTATATTTTATACTCTGAGTAACTAATTTAAAGATAACAATATGCAATGTATTAACCATTGTTACCCTCCTATTATCTTGTTTTTAAATTTTGGGTTTTTTTTTAAAGAAAGGAAAAGCAGAGAGATCCGAGAGCATGCTCCTTCTCTTCCTCTCCTTCCCTTTGCATTTTTCTCTTTCTCTCTCCGGTGCAAGGACACAAGGAGAAGGCAGTGACTGCAGTCAGAAAGAACTCTCACCAGGAACTGGGTCTGTCTCCATCTTGACCTTGGATTTCTCAGCCTCCAGAAATGTGAGTTGTTTGAGACATAAGATTATGGTTTTTCACTCTGACTTCCCAGGATGACTAAAGCAGTGACTAATCTGCCTCTGCAGATGTCACCTGACACTCTTTCCACCACTCTTGGGTCCCAACACTCTGCACCTGCCCACGGCTCCCACTTCCTCCGCTGCCCCCCACCGCCGAAGATGCTGCCCCTGCCACGTTGGGGTGGCTACCTCTGCCATTGCCCCCTGGGCTGGCATCCTCCTGCAGGATTGCTTAGAGCTCCCGGAATGGAATTTTCCAGTCTTTGGCCTTCTGAGTGGCAATCTTAGTTGTTCGGGTGGAGAGCCACGCGTGGGAGAGAGGGTGGGGATTTCACGGTTCAGTGTGAAATGTCTGATCCTGATGGTCCTCAGTCCAGGGGACCCCTGCCTCCTTTTCTAGGGAGGAGACTTCTGTCTTGCTAAGGAAACAGGCAGGAATCTGGGGATCGAAAGCCTTCTCAGAGAACATTTCATCCTGGCCTCCCCTCTTCCAGAGGGACCATGGTACTGGAAGTGCGAGCCCTTTGAGGGTTGTCCAATCAGCTTACTTCCCAGAAATCCCTCCTCCAGCTGAAGACTCAACTTTGTCACTGCTACTAAGACAACTGCCACTCCACTATCTGCTTGCCAGCTGGTATTTTTTTCCTCTCTCTGTCTCTGTTTTTATTTTTCCTTTGTCACTGTGGGTTTCAATGTTCTGGGGAGGAGGAGCTCACCCTGGAGTATTCAGGGAGGTGAGTCCTTTCTTTATTAACTTGTTTTAAGTTTTATTTTTATTTTTTGTTTCTTATTCTGGTACCAGGAATTGAACTCATGACCTAGCGCTTACCAGGCAGGCGCTGTGCCATTGAGGTAAATCCCCAGCCCCAAGTTTTATTTTTAATTTGTATGTAATAATTGTACATATTTCTAGGATATAGTGTGTGCTGCTTTAATACATGTATACAAAGTATAATTATCAAATCAGGGTAATTAGCATTTTCTTCTCCTCATCATTTCTTTATGTGTGTTTTCCAGCACCTCTTTTCTAATTCTTGATAAGTAATGTTTATTGTGAACTGTAGTTTCTCACTGTGCTGCAAAGTATGAGGTCATATTCCTTCTATCTGTTCTTTCTCTCTTTCTTTCTTCCTTTCTTTTCTTTCTTTCTTTCTTTCTTTCTTTCTTTCTTTCTTTCTTTCTTTCTTTCTTTCTTATTTTTTTTGAGATAGGGTCTCACTATGTAGTTCAGGCTAGCTTTGAGCTTACTTTGTAGCCCAGGCTGGTCTCAAACTCACACTGATCCTCCTGCCTCAACCTCCCAAGTGCTGGGATTACAGGCATGTGCCACCACACCCGGCTTATTTATTTATTTACTTTTGGTTTTATTTGAAATAGGGCCTCACTATGCAGTTCAGGCTGGCCTTGAGCTCACTTTGTAGCCCAGGCTGGTCTTGAACTTGCAATGATCCTCCTGCCTCAGCCTCCCGAGTGCTGGGATTACAGGCATGTGCCACCATGCCTGGCTCTTCTATCTGTTATCTAGCCTCCTTGTCTCTGTTGCCCCCTGCTATGTGACTTTTTACTCCCCCTTTTATCCCTGTAATTCCAGCGTACTGAGAGGCTGAGGCAGGAGGATAACAATTTCTAGCCCAGCCTGGGAAACTTAATGACTTAGCAAGACCCTGTCTCAAAATAAAAAAAAATAAAAAAGTACTAGGATGTAGCTCAGTGTGAAGGTCCTTGGTTCAGTCCTTAATAGCACCAAACAAAAACCCAAACCAAAAACCCTTTATGTGGACAGGGAGCAGAGGTGAAGTGTATTCACACTGACACGATGTTAGTGTCTACAAAGCACATTTCCCATCCTGTTATTTATGGCTTCCATATTTGCAAAATCACCCACTCACTAAAATTTATTTGTAACTCTAAAATACTACTCACCCTCCTTCGCAGTTGTTAAGGCTTGGATCTAAAATGTTCCCCAGTGTCATGCTCTGAGGTGGCGCTTTCGGAAGTTGAGATCATGGGGGCTCCGAGGTCTTCGGTGGATCAATCCATTACTGAGACCCTAATTTCATGGCCTCACTGGGAGATGATGGTCTAGTTGAAGGGAGCGGTCCCGGGGGCATGATCCTGGGGACGGTATCTTGTCCCTGGCCCTCTCTCCCTGCCTCTTGCTCTGTCACTGTCTTGGCTTCCTGACTGCTGTGAGGTGAGAGGCCTTCCCCCACCACAGCCGTCCGCCATGTTCCTGCCTCACCACAGGCCCAGAGCGCTGGAGCTGCCGACACTGGGCCGAAACTACGGAGGCCCTGAGCCAAAATTAACCTTCCTTTCTGTGAGCTGCTTTTTCCAGGTCACTGTGATAAAACACCGACTAACGCAGCAGTCATTCGCGGACACACCCAGAGCAGCCAAAAAATTTAAGAATTTCAGGCTCTTGATGCCCAAGTTCCGACTGGATGAATAAGACACACACTTTCTGTTTAAGCTCTTATACTACGGACAAATGTGCTTTGTGGGGTCTTAGTACGATATTTTCTCAATTATTTCACTCTTTGTGTGTGATTTTGGTGTTTAAAATAGTCCCCGAGGGTAGCGTTAAAGTGCTGTTCTGTGTTCCTAATCCCAGGAAGGCTGTGAGGCGCTTTGTGAAGAAAACATGTGTAGTCGAGAAGCTTTGTTCAAGCCGCGTTTACAGCACTGTTGGCCGTGAGTTCAGTGTGAATGATCAACAGTAGATATTAATTAAGCCAGGTGTCTTCAGGCAGAAATATATTTCAAACACGGTTAGGTATCGATCAGTTGACAAAAATGTTCTGACAAGGAGCTGGTAGGAACCTACTCGTGTATTTCTCTGAGGAGCAATGATTCAATATTCATTAAATCAGTATTCAAGTGACTCTACAGGAAGTACGTGCCAGGAGAACATAACAAAGGTTAACTGTATGGACTTGACATTGCCGGGCGTGCTGGCGCATGCCTGTAATCCCAGCACCTGGGAGGCTGAGGCAGGAGGATCATTGTGAGTTCGAGACCAGCCTGGGCTACAAAGTGAGCTCAAGGCCAGCCTGAACTGCAGAGTGAGACCTTGTCTCAAAAAAAAAAAAAAAAAAAAAAAAGAGTGTGGACTTGACATTGCCGAATATTTTGTTTTCAATGCCTTTGTTAAAGAATAACATACACTGAGCCAGGTGTGGTGGCACATGTCTCAGGAGGCTGAGGCAGGAGGATTGTTGTGAGTTTGAAACCAGCCTGGGCTGCAAAGGGAACTCAAGGCCAGCCTGAAGTGCTTAACGAGACTGTCTCAAAAAGACAAACAGAAACAAAAACAAAAAACCAATAAAAACCCACAAAACAAAAATCAAAATAACATATATTAACCATAAACATTTATAGTGGAAAATCTGATGAGTTTTGACATAGGTACACCTTCATGAAACCAACACCAAAATCAAGATAATGGATGTACCCCCCCCCCAACACTGCCCTCCCTCTTGGCAACCACTGATCTGATTCTGTCACTATAGATTTATGTTTTGGATTCCTAACTTGTACAGAGCCTGACACTAGGGAGAGGTGTCAAACCAAGTCAGGACTTCCACAACACAGCACTGACTTTCCCAAGTGGCAGGAACTGCAGACAAGTGCAAAGGAGAAGACCTATGACCTTATAGTGCGATGGCAAAATGTGTAGTAAAACTGACTATGTCTTCTCTGTCTTTAAATTTCCAATACCATATTGTGTGTTCTCTTTCTGGCTTCCTCGGCTCAGCTGTGTTATACACTTGAAAAGTGTATTTCTTTTCATTGCTAGCAGTGTTTCATTGTACGACTATACTGTGCAAAGATCTATTCATGCTTGATTTACTTTGGGGTTGTTTTCAGTTTGGGGCTATTGTAAATAAATCTATAAATGTTCCTACACAAGCCTATGTATGGACACGTGCTTTTATTTCTTTTGAGTAAGCATCTAGGAGTAAAATAGCTAGATTACACAGTATATGTATGATTAACATTTTAAATACTTAAAATTTATTTTCCAAAATAGTTTTATTGTCATTCTTAGCAGCAGTGTATGAGAGTTTGAATAACTCCATATTCTCACCAACACTTGATAGTAAACTTATTAAAATTTAGTTATCCTAATAAATATGCCACAGTATCTCATTATCATATTTTTATTAGTGCATATTAATTTTACAAAATACCGGATTTCAATGTGGTATTTTCATACATGTGTATAACGTATTTTGATCAAATCCATTTCACCAAAATTCTCTCTCACGCCCCTTCTCCCCTCTCATTCATTCTCTTACTCTTATCTAATAGTAGTATCCTTTCTCCTTGCATGTAATTTATTGTAAGATTCTGCATATTAAGGGAAACATGTGATATGTGTCTTTCTGAGTCTGGCTTATTTCATTTTCCTCCAGATGATGTATGTAATTTCAGTCTTCTTTATGGCTGAATAACGATTGTATCTGTCTGCCACATTTTCTTTCTTTTTTTTTTTTTTGGTACCGGGAATAGAACTCCGGACCTTGCGCATGCCAGGCAGGCGCTTGTGCCACTAAGTTATATCCCCGGCCCTGCCCTATTTTATTTATCCATTCATCTGCTCATGGGTACCTGAGCTGGTTCTGTATCTTGGCTATCGTGATCTATGCCTCAGTAAACATAGGTATGTAGGTAACCCTATAGTATGATGACTTTAATTCCTTCCAACATATACCAAAGTGTATGTAACAGGGCCATGTGCTAGTTCTAGTTTAAGTTTTCTAAGGAACCTCCATACTGATTTCTACAGTAGCTGTACCTAGTTTACATTCCGTAGGTTCCTTTTTGAGTCTTCTCCAGCACTTACTGTTTTTTTGTTTGTTTGTTTTGTTTTGTTTTTTGGATTTTTGATGATAGCCATTTGGACTGGGATGAGATGGAACCTCAATGCAGTTTTGATTTGGTTGAACATCCATTCCTCCATTATTGGTTATTTGCATTCTTTCAAGAGATGTCACCGGGCATGGTGGTGCACACCTGTAATCCTAGCACTCTGGAGGCTAAGGCAGGAAGATCACCAGGATCGCTGTAAGTTCAAGACCAGCCTGAGCTACATAAGCAAGTTCAAGGCCAGCCTGCACTACGTGCCAAGACCCTGTCTCAAGAAAGAAAAAGAAAAGAAAAGAAAAAAGAAATTCAATTTATCCATTTACTGTAATATTAACATTTTTGAGTTCTTTATATATTCTAGGCATTGGTCCTCTCGCTGTTGGAAGAGCAGCTGGCAAAGACCTCCCCTCCTCTGTGGATTGTCTCTTTATTCTGTTGGTTTTTCCCTCTGCTGTAAAGAAGCTCTTAATTTGGTGTAGTCCCACTTGGTTCTAGCTGTTACTTTCTGTGCTCCTGAAGTCCTATTTAGGAAGTCTTCACCCGCGCTTATGGCTTCAAGTGTTTCTCCTATGATATTTTTCTAAGAGTTTCAGGTCTTATACCTAGGTCTTTGATCCATTTTGAATTGATATTGTACAGAGTGAAACAAGGATATAGTTTCAGTCTTTAACATATGGATATCCAATATTTCCAGCACTGTTTGTTAAAGATGCTTTCTTTCCTCTAGCATATGTGTTTGGCCTCTTTGTCAGGAACAGGATGGCTGTGATTATGTGGGTTTGTTTCTGTGTCCTCTGATCTCTTCCACTGATCTGCATGTTTATTTCTGTCCAGTACCTTGCTGTTTTTTTATTACAAATTTTGATGGCATAATTTGAAATTGGGTATTTTGATAGCTCCAGTCTTATTCTTTTTGCTTAGGTTGGTTTTTTGTTTGTTTGTTTGTTTGTTTTGTTTTGAGATAGGATCTCACTCTGTAATGCAGGCTGGCCTTGAACTCACTGTGTAGCCCAGGTTGGCCTCAAACTTGCGGTGATCTTCCTGCCTCAGCCTCCAGAGTGCTGGGATTACAGGTGTGCACCACCATGTCCAACTTTGCTTAGGATTATTCTGGGTTTTTGTGTTTCTGTATCAATTTCAGAATTATTTTTTCTAGTTTTGCAAAGAATGCCACTGGAACTTTGATAGGGATTGCACTGAATCTGTAGATTGCTCTTAATAATATGGGTATTTTAACCATGTTTATTCTGCCAATTCATGAACATAAGATGGTCTTTCCACCTTATAGCATCTTCTTCAACTTCTTTCTTTAATCTTCTATTATTGTTACAGTTTGTGTCTAGATGTCCTTTCAAAGCCTCATGCAGTCATGGCACGGACTTCTAGAGTTTATGATTGATCTATGGTTCAGTGCTGAGATTATAGGTGTGAGTGCCACACCAGCCTTGGGGCGGGTAGCCTGAATACAGTATAAAGGAGGGAAAGAGGCTTGCTCTCTGCCACTCCTCCCTTTTTGCTTTTGTTACTTTTGCTGTTTTCTGCCACCGTGAGCTGTCATCCTCTGCCATGTGCCACTCTGCCTTGGAGCCAGTTGAGTATGGACAGAAACCTCCACAAACTGTGAGCTAAATAAACCTTTCCTTCCTTAATTTTGGGTGTCAGGTATTTTGTCCCAGCAATGAGAAAAACTAACCAAGACAATAATTTTCATTGTAGAGGTCATTCTCCTTCTTGATTATGTTGATTCCTAGGTGTTTTTTGTTGTTTTTTTTTTTTTTACAGTTTAAAAATTTTTATTAGTATATTTGCAGTATATGATTACATTCATCACTACATTTTTTTTAAGCTATTGTAAATGGAATTCCTTTCTCAGCGACTTGGTTGTGGAAAACTATTGACTTTTTAAGGCTGATTTTGTATTCTGCTGCTTTTCTGAATTTATCAGATCTAAAAGTCTTTTAGAGACGTCCTTAGTGTCTTCGAGTGTAGGATCATATCATCTGCAAATAAGGAAAATTGCCTTCTTCCTTTATTATTTGATCCTTTTTATTTCTTTCTCTTGCCTAATGGCTCTGCTTAAAATTTCAAGTACTTTGTTGACTAGGAGTAGTGAGAGAGGACATTGTCCTCACCTGGTTTCAGAGGAAATGCTTTCAGTTTTATCCTATTCCATACAATGTCTCATTCTGGTCTTATTTTGCATTTCCCCGATAACTAAGAATGCTGAACACCTTTCATGAACTTACTTGCCATTCATATGTCTTCTTTGGTGAGGTGTCTATTCAAATCTTTTGTTCATTTTTAAATTGAATTTTTATTTTCTTAGAGTTTTTTTAGAGTCCTTTTTATCTCCCAGATAGAAGTCCTATACTCTTTGTAACTATTTTATCTCACTCCATTGCTATTACCTCCATTCTCCCGACATTGTCTTCTGGCCTGCTGGTCTACTTGTTTCACCCTGTATGATTACTACATGGTTTTGCTGACGCTAACATTATAGTGAGGCCGGAGTTCAAGAAGTAATGGCCTCTTAACTTTGTCCCTTTTCAAAGATGCTTTGGCTGTTCAAGATGCTTTGTACTTCTATAGAAATTTCAGAGGTGGCTTGACAAATTACATGCAAAAGCCTGCTGGGTTGTTTTTTTAAATTGAGAGTGCATCAAAAGATGAGCATTTCTGTGAAATGCATCTTCAGTGGTAGGTCAGGGACTAGCTCCAGTACGGAACCACTGGCCATCCTGGGAAACTGATCCAGGGCTCGCTCAGCTGTCATTTTGGGGCCACGTTTTGTATGAACAGCTCATACCCAAGGTAGGACACAGCCAGTCTTGCTTCCCTGTCCTTGTCCAAGCTCATGTTGATGGTGCTGTAAATCTCTGTGCAGGAGCAGAGAGGTATCTCCAGCTCGTGTTGGACTCCCTTAGTCCCCACCCGACACAGCAGGACCGTGAGCCCCCTGGCAAGATTTTTGAACCAGTAAATCCAACTTGCCTCTGGCTTGTGTGTTACCAAAGTACACAAGCCTAATCCCCACTAGCTGCAGTTTTCTGGAAGATCTTTGAAAGTTAAAACTCCATTTAAAACATCAGCCATAAAAGCAACTTGGCCTTAACCTGTTACATTTATTGCACCATCTAACGAAGACAATATCTTATCCTGATAAACAGAAATCCTCGCCATTGTTCTGTGCAGGAGACAAAGACTGCAGACTTTTTTTTTGTAACCCGTTGTAAACTCTGTAAAACAAACCCAACTCTCACACAAAGCGTTGACCACCTTCCCAGGATAAGGAGCGAACAGCACTCCCCCGAGGGAAATGGAGGCACTTCTGCTGCAGCCGCTTTTTAGATGTCCCAGTGCCTTTTTCTTTCTGTTTGCAAGTGGCCCTTCCCTTAATCGTCACCATATTCCTGATCCTGCCACTATCTTTTTTTGTGGTACTGGGAATTAAACCCAGGACCTTTGCACTGAGCTATATCCTCGGTCCTAGTAATTCATTCATTCATTCATTTAGTGGTGGTGTCTAATCAAGTGGCTAAGTTGTCTGGGCTGAGCTCAGACTTGCAGTGCTGCTGCCTCAGCCTCCTAGGCTTCTGGGATACAGGCACCACTAGGCCCTGCTGTTGTCCTATGAATCCACAGTCGTCATCTTGTCCAAATTTATTACCTAGGGGATGGTCTCACTGGAAATTGAGAAACAGAATTTTTGGAAGGTTTAACAAAAAGGTTGCTGTAAACTCATGTAGGAAGCACACCTAGGCAGTCTCCTTGAAGCTCTTTTTTCTCTGAAATACTGGGGAGCAGGTGGCAAAGCATCCCCCCGTCCTGGGGCTGTCATGTTCCCTGCTTCCCCTGCAGCAAAGGGTCTGCAGGGAGCCCACCTCCCTCCGTGGGCCTGGGGTGTCCAGCTGCTTCTACGTGCCCTCCAAACTCTCAGATATCTTCTCTAATCGCTCATTCGGGCCCCAGGGATTTAGTCTCATTTCCTTTCCTCTTCACATCTTCTATCAAGTAATTTATCCCTTACAACTCTTCCTGCAAAACCAACTTTAACAAACCAGAAAGTTTCCTCCGCGTCTTTCTTCCTTGCTGTCCACCATCCGTGAGTATTTCCTGAGTGTCTACTGTTTTTGTATCAGTGTTTGAGTCAGATTCCATATCCATCCTGGTGACAATGACTAGAATGAGACCGACAGCAACGGCCAGGTACACGTATATGTTCGAATAGACAATGCGTGCTAATTTAGACTGTAGCACCTTTTTTTTTTTTTTTTTTTTTTTTTTTTTT